CCCAGCTGGGGGAATGGCCCCAACAGTGGTTCAGCTGCCACCTGGGGGGGTCTCCCAGGTTGTGGGTCAGCTCCCAGCTGGGGGAATGGCCCCAACAGTGGTTCAGCTGCCACCTGGAGGGGTGCCCCAGGTTGTGGGTCAGCTCCCACCTGGGGGGAAGCCCCCATCTGTGGGTAAGCGACCACATGGGAGGAAGCCCCCAGCTGTGGGTAAGCGGCCACGTGGGAGGAAGCCTCCAACTGTGGGTCAGCTCCCACCTCAGGGGGTGCCTCCCATTGTGGTTCACCTCACTCCTGAGGGGCTGCCCATAGTTGTGGGTCAACTGCAACCTGGGCAGCAGGAGTTACCCTTGCTCTTGCTCCTACCCGGGGGCATGAAGCCGGGTATGCCTCCGCCCAATGCCCCTGCCCACTGCTGGGATAACCCCCCAGTGGCAGGGACGATGCAGCCCCAGCAGCCGATGGGGTCGCAGCCTGGGGCCGCGTTGCGTGGACAGCCCCCGCAGCCTGCAGGCAGCTGCCCGCTGCAGGCTCCCAGCCAGCCCGGCCCTTCAACTGTCCTCCAAGGACCTCCAGTGCAGCAGCAGGTGCTCTTCGTGCCCGGCACCCTGCCCACCATCTTAGAGCAGGAGGAGGAGCCCTTTGGAGACGCCGTGGTGCACACGGAGGACCAGGGGCAGCCAGCACCCATCAGCGTGTGCCCCCATCCCACCACGGCTCCGCTCACCTGCAGCATCGCAGCGCTGGAATCAGGTGGTGAGTTTGGGGGCTGCAGAGCAGGCAGCAGGCTGGCCGCACTGGGTGGCTGTGGAAAAGATGGCATTGCCTGACGGCGGATTTTCTTGCTTTTCCAGCAGCGACAACCAGCTCAGATATCCCAGAGGACATCACCGACATCGGTGACCTCCTGGCTTGGATGAACAGCGGTGAGTTCGGGGGCAGCAGAGCTGGCGGGGGAGTGTTTGCACCCATTTGGTGTGGGAAAGCTGGCCTTAACCCCGTGGCGATTTTCTTCCTTTTCCAGAAGTGGCACCCAAAGAGGTCCCGGATGACATCCCGGGCATGGATGATCACTCAGCCGAGTGCCCAGCCCCTGCCTGCACCCCCAGCGGACACCAGCAGAGCACTGGCAGCATCCGAGCCACCAAGAGGAAGCTGCCACAGAGCCAGGATGCTCCAGAGCAAAAGCGCTCGCGCTAGGTGAAGCTGGGTGGGCTCAGCAAAAATGGGAGCATCTGCAGAAACCGGCCCACGTGGTGCAGCAGGAGACACGGCCACAGCCAACAAATCAGGCTACCTGTAGCCCTGGGCTCCTCGCCGGCCCTCGCACAGAGCAGCGGCAGTGCTCCAGGGGCACCGGCCCCAGCCCAACCCCTCCCAACCTGGGCTGTCCACCAACAACACCTTGGACTGGACAGCGTGGGACGCCATTACATTATGTTATGTTATGATATTTTATGTCATCTTATGTTCAATTACATTAAATTACTTTAAATTATTCAATGTGTCATATTCACTTTGCTATGACGACCTGCGGTTGTTTATACAGCAGCAACAAATGCTGCCACTGAATCCTCCAGCTCAGAGCAATCTTCTATACAGAGTGCAACCTCTTCCCTACACAGTGCTTCCCTGTGCAGGTATGCAATTAGAGGTATGAAGAGGAATGCAAAGTTTTCAATAAAGTGCACACCAGGAGGAAGAAATCCAGGAACAGCAAAAGAAACAGAAATGTTAAGCTCAAAGATTTTCACAGCAATTACTCAATAGCAGGTGCTATTGAGGTGAGTGCATCAGTATGGTGGCCAGGACCCCTCAATGTGCAAAAAGCGAGAAGAACACCCTGTTGGGATGCATAACAAGAGGAGACATCAGCATTGACAGAGCTAATGTGTCTAATAATCAACAAGCACATATTTAATCTCTACAGTAATCCTGTCACAGCTTGGCCCAAAATTTCAGCATCCAAGTATGCAGTGATTTCCCAGATTCACAGTTTCAGGACCTGAAAGAGGTGTACAGATCCAAGATACAGCATGACTGAATTCTCCCACCTAGTAATCCTGATCCCATACCTAGGAATTGGTTATGAGCAACAAATTCTGCAATCCAGCCTAGCCTGTAAGGGAGGTTTGAAATCCCATCCTCAAACAGTATCCCTGCAAGCTATGCACAAAATGCTGCACCAAAGTCATTCCTCTGCTCATGGAAGACCTACTGCCCAATGGAGACAGACATTTGGGACCACCATCAGCCATTTCCTGGTTATCCTGCACACAAAGCATCCTTATCCCAAAGGGAAGGCTCCCGTTTAATCTCCTGACCTTTGCTGCTGTGACCAGATGACACCGTGACAAAAGCTGGAAAACCTTGCAGCTGTGGTTACTGGGGATGTTGGCCAAGTCCACACGCCAATGAGTTTGTCCCAGTACCGTGGGGATGTGTTAGGGCTGGGCTGGAAGGACGTCTTCACTTCATCAGCAAGTTGGCTGACAACACTGCTGACAACAGAACAAG